ATGTGATGGAAACCTAGTAAGTGGTCTATCTTGGCACAATCCATTAATACTAAAGTCTGACGTTGTATACTATCAAATTTTAAGTTTGGACAATTTTTTAGAGGAAGCAAGCCATAAGAAGAAGTATTGCAACATGCTTGTAATCCCAGCACTCAGGAGGCTGAGGCAGGAGGATCACGGCAAGTTCAAGACCAGCCCAGGCTACCCAGTGAGCGCAAGGCCAGCCTGGACTACATAGGGAGATCGGATCTCAAAAAGAAAAAAAAAAAGAATTCCATAAAATATGTAGATTTTAAATTTCTTTGACCCTAAAAAGCTAAAGAAGGGCGTAATAACCATTTGGACTTTAAGTTGCATTTAACTTTTTTATTTAAAGAGAAAAAAATATATAGCATTTCGAAACAAGGTAACAGGAGATTAACAATGGCTAATATATTACGCACTGTTATTTTCAAAGTAGTTGTTCGCATTACACGACTTAGGCATGCATAATTGATCAAACTATATAAGCACAAACCATTTTTAATGAACTAAAAGAAGTCAGTAGTATACATGTCTATCATATATATATATATATATTCCCTTCCTTCCTTCTTTTCTCCTTTCACCCATCCCAGTTGCTCTTTCCTTTTGAGTAGTTTCTTTCCCTTTCACAATATCTATGGTAGACTTGTGGTCTTCTTTACTTTTTCAGTTTCTTACACTTGGGAGACAACACAATGTTTATACATAGTTGCATTTAATTTTGAAAATAATCCTTAGCTCAGTTTCTGAGTAGATATTACAGTTGATACGAACAGGCCTGTATAACAACCCTTTTACCTATTAGAGCTACTATTCTTGATGTTCTCAGGTTAGAGCTTGAAATTTTCTGAATTTCAACTAAAGTAGGCAGTGAAACCAAGGAGTAGGTAAGGACCACATCGTGTGCGCCCGTTCGCCACCTGCACCACCGCTGGGCCTAGGTGCGCCTTTTCTGATCTCCGCTACTAACTGTGCTCTGTTCTCTGCCAATATGTCTACAGTTAGCAGATTTCAGATACACACTCTGGTATGCGTGATATTGTCACACCTCGGACTGGCGGTGCCGCAGAGAAGGGATGTAGCACGAGCCAGAACACAACCTCTGGAAATACTCCAGGATTCAGAAACGAGCTTATATCTGCACCTAACTCAAATTCTCAACGGAAAAAAAGTATAACTGCTCAGACAACTTCATAAGCATCCTTCACAGGAAAAGCAACAACAAAGCAGCCAATAGAATCCCAGAGCTAGCAAAGATTTCAAGAGCATTTATTACGCCGGGGCTGTTATTTTACAGACGTGGAAGCCAAAGCCTAGAGAATCTTTGCAGCTTGCCTCCACACAGAAGGCTGGGCTGGCCTCGTACCGATCTGTTCTTGATTCTTAGGTTGGTGTTCTTTCTACTGTCTCCTCCAATTTCTGTGACTAAGTACGTTTACTAAAAGCACATTGAGGCTGAAAAGAAAAGCCGACATGTGGGGGCGTGTGCCTGTAATCTCAGCACTTGGGAGGCTGAGGCAAGGGGCTCACTTCGAGTTTGAGGCCAACTTTGGCTACACAGTGAGTTCAAGAATAGCCTCAACTACACAGTGAGACCTTATCTCAAAAAAACAAACCAAACAAACAAACAAAAAGATATGCTGAGGGTGTGCCAACTATATATTTTTATTTATTTATTTACTTATTTTTTTTGTTCTACTTTGTACCAGGAATTGCACTCAGGATCTTGCACTTGCCAGGCAGGCGCTTGTACTGATGGGCTAGATCCCTGGCTATATTTTTTATTTACAAATTCTCTGCATACCACTGCATAAACAGTCTCACTTCATGACACATTAAACTGCTTAGGGCAAAGAAGAGCAAGTTCAGTTATGGACAAAGGAAGCACTAGTTATTCGTCTTACACAGCCCTGGCTCGCCTTTGTGGCCTCTCCTTTGGAGACCATAATCCCATGTCACTTTGCCCATAACGGCTGTGGTGTTGATTTGACATTCCCGAACTACAAATCGGGTACTGAAATCCCCATGATGCAGAGTTAAGAACTCATTGAATGTCACAGAAATGAAAATCCAATTCCATAAAGTAATCTTTATCATCACGGGTTTGGGAAATTGTCCAGTTTCCTGTGATGAATAAATGAATTCATACTTCGATTACATGTGGATCCGCTTCATGGCGATGTTACTTTCTGGGGACGTTCTAACAGCCGAGCAAAACACTCCGGAGGAAGCCATGCGCCGCAGGCAGAGCCTTCGCGACCGGGCGACTGAGCGGCCGCCGCTGCCTTCCCCACCTCCCTGTGTAGCCCACGCTGGCCTTGAACTCATGGCGATTCTTCTGCCTCAGCTTTCCAAGTGCAGGGATTACGGGCATGCACCACCACATCTGGCCAAAATATATTTTTAAAAGAAACAAGTAGCAGACATAAATACAATATATCAGTAATTTCGCTCAATGTGAAGGAAATGAAAACTCCAAGGAACAAGCAGAGATTGTCAGATTGGAAGAGAAGACACACCCGGCTAGTCCAGTGATAGGCTGCCACAAGGGACACATTCTAACTTTACGATACACAAAAAGATTGTGTGCACAGCGCTTATAAGGAACTGGAGCAGCTATAACTGCACCAAGCCATATGCACTTTAAATCAAGAAATAACAGAGAATTAGGTCTCATTGCTATATGCCTCTCAATAAAATTATGGAAGAAAATAGAGAATTAGGGACATTTCATAATGACAAAAGGGTCAGCTCCTCAAAAAAATAACAAAAATTTACATGCACATACAGAGCCCCCAAAGTACATAAAGTCGGGATGAAATTGGAAAAAGAAAGCTAAAAAATCAGTCTGAGACTTCAGTATCCC